GGAATTCATACTGTTCATTCCACACAGTGCATCGGTCTGTCAGCACCATGGTGGGGACAATGTGTTATGGATGAACTTCCAAGTTAGTATGTACAAAGGCAAATTCGTTTTTTTTAAGGGCTGCATGTTATCTCATGGTCCAGGTGAGCCCAGATTTACTGAACTATCTGCCATCCAGGCTCCAGCAACAGCTTAGGTTTTTTCCAGTTTTTCACTCTTTTGCATAATGCTTTCAGAAGCTTCCATGTATATTTGAAATCTGTTTGGGGGGGATTTATTTCCAGAAATAGAATTGTTGTCAAACATGTTTCTTAAAACCCAGTTTTGTCATTTCTTTCCGTCCGTTCATTTATTCTGTTGTTCATTTGAGAGCCCTGTTGAGTGTTTCATGTGGCAGATGTGGTGCTGGGACACTGCTGTGGACAAAGCAGAAATGGCCTCTTTCCATATGGAAATGATAATTTATGGAGTCCCCACCTGCCTGCTGCTTTGTCTCTGTTTCTTGTTTTAAAATAGGAAAAGGGAAGGGAGGAATGTTTTCAACAGAAGAGACTGCCTGGTGAAAATCCCAGACTGCCTTTGAATTGTCCGAGGGCAGCCATCTACCTATCGGAGGACATGGCTTATAAACTCCATTCAGGGAGCAAACGGCTGTGGCCACCGCTGCCCAGGGACAGTGTGAGGGTTCTGGGCTGCAGGGAGGGGCCGCCCCACCCTGCTGGCTGGTCCCCAGAAGGGGAAGTAGCAGCCACCCAAAAAGCTGGCAGGCGCTTTCTTCAGGGAGGGCCCTGGGGACCAACTGTGTGTCATTTTGCAAGTTGGTGGTTTCTGCTTTTCCGCTCCCTTCTCCGGAAGGGACCAGTGGGCGCTGTGGTATGGGAGTGGCCAGTTCTAGCCTCCCTCCCGGAAGCCTCACCCTGGGTCTGAGAGGCAGTCGCTCTCCTGCAAAGACGTCGTGGAATGGCGTGCCAGCCATTGTTGGTGTTTACGGGACAGCCAGGCCCACGTGGGGCCCAGGCGGACCCAGCAGGAAGGAGGTGAGCCTGGCTCCCCATTCTTACCCAGGAGCCCAGTGATGGGGTGATGACTTGCCCAGGCCGCAGCAGAGCTGGCTTCTCACCTGGGTTTCCTGGTTTTCGCATCTCACCCTGCAGCAGTAGCTGCTCCCACCCCGGAAGGCGACAGCCCCCCAACCCCAATAGCCAGACTGTCCCGTGAGCACTGTCATCAGCTGATGGAATAGCTGTTGTCCAGTTAGCACTGACTGAGGCTCAGAGACCAGCTTTCCTGACCATTCTCAGTACAGCCTCGTCCTTTTCCCGACCTAAGGATCTCGAGGGTGCCAGCTCAGGTACCCATGGAATATTCACCATGGTGACAGAGCATTTACCAAGAGCCGGGCTTGGAGCTGCTTGCTTTATGTGTCATTTAATTCTCACTGCAACCCTACAAAGTAGTCCTACAGTCTCACCATCCCCGTGTCACTGGCGGGGAAACTGAGGGTCAGAGATTTGGTAACTATCCTGGCCCCTGCCTATTTCTCCACTTATCCAAGTCCACGCCCTTCCAGCCATGCTGCCCTGCCCCTCCTGGGCCCTCCAGCCAGCTTGCTTCCTCTGCCTGGAAATAGTTTCGCCTAGACCTTGACCTCCTGTCTAAAATAGCCGCCCATCCATCCAGCACTCTCTGTCCCTTTGCCCTGCCTTATCCCTGCATGGCCCTTCTCATTACCAGGAATCACGTGGTGTGGAGAACCTGTTTCCACCACCAGAATAACAAGCCAATGAGGGTGAGGGTTTTGGTTCATCTCTGTGCCTAGAACAGTGCCTGGCCCGCGAGGGATGTTTAGTTAGTGCTTGTTGAATGAATGAATGAATGAATAGGTGGCACTTCCTCCAGGTCCTCCCTTCCCTGCTCTCTTGAGGTCACATCCCCCCGACTGTAGACCCTCCTAGCCCCGCAGCCCTATCTTTCCATGGTTGTGTTTATCTGATTGCTGTCTGCCTCCACAACTAAGCTTTGAGCTGCTCGAGGGCAAGGACTTCATTTGCTTTTTCCCCACTGTATTCTCTGCCCTGGGCCTGTGTGTGGTTCCAGATGGTGCCTGAATGAATAGGTGAATGAACCTGGTGCAGTAGAAGGGGCAGGACTGGAACCCACCTCTCTAGTGTTCAGGCCTGTCTCTCAGCATTATGCTCCCTCCTGGTTTGAAATTGTGAGTCTGATTAAAAAGCACCCGATCGTGGCTTCCAGACCCAGGCGGAGGCTCCCGGGGTGGCCAGCAGTTATATAACAACTTTGCAGTTTCTCAAAGCCAGGCTTCAAACTGAACATCGACAGTTCTCTCAAGGTGTTGATTCCTCCTGAGTTCAGTTTTTAATGAAGATGAAACTTGGCCCCTGAAGGCCAAAGCACTGGAGAAAATTCCTCTTCGTGGCGCTGGGCTCTTCCCTTAGCAGCGGGTGTGTGAAGCAAGACTGGTGGTGGTGGATGTGTGTGTGAAGAGAAATTATATTTATTTATTTTCTGTTAGTCCTGAAAGTCATACGCGTTTCTCACAGCAAACTTCAGGAATTCAGAAAATAGAAGAAACCTCGTCTAGTCTTACCACCCACAGACAACCATTTAAGCAGGCTGGTACATTTCCTCCAATAATTCAAAATATATTTTTGCCCTTTTGTGGGTGAGGGAGTGGGGCATAATTCTGACCATACAATATACATCCTCCCCCTTTCCCATTTAACCTATATAAATATACCAATAAAATATTTTAATATTCTATTAAATATTGAAATATTGAAATATATGTTATTTAAAATTTTTAATTTATTTTTACTCCCAGTTTTATTCAGATATAATTGACATTCAGCACTGTATCAATTTAAGGTCACAGCATAATGATTGGACTTACATATATCATGAAATGATTATCACAATAAGTTTAGTGAACATCCATTTGTATAGTTACAAAATGAAAGAGAAAATGTTTTTCCTTGTGATGAGAACTCTTAGGATTTACTGTGTTACCAACTTTCATATATAACACCCAGCAGTGTTAATTCTATTTGTCACGTTGTACATTACATCCCTAGGACTTATTTATCTTATAACTGCAAGTTTGTACCTTTGACCACCTTCATCCAGTTCCCCCTCCCCCGAACCCCTACACCTCTGATCTATTTTTCTGTGAGTTTGTTTGTTTTGAAGTGTAATTGACAACACTATGCTGGTTTCTGGTGCACAGCATAGTGAGTCGATATTTCTACACGTTACAAAATGATCACCATGATAAGTCTAGTTAGTCTAGTCTAGTGATAGATGTATCACAACGCAAAGATATTACATGATTATTGGCTATGTTACCCACACTGTACATTGCATCCCCGTGACTCATTTGTTTTGTAATGGGAAGTTTCTACCTCTTCACCTTCCTCATCTATTATCATTATGAAATGTATGTTAAAATTTAATATTAATGTGTATAATTTAATATTAAAATATTGAATAAAGTACTTCAAAACTTTAATGACTACAAAATATTCCACTGTGTGTGTGTATCACATTTTTCTTAATCTGTTCAGTTGTTTACCCTTTACCTTCTTACCTCTCCAAATTTCCTAGTTCACCTTGCTGTGTGTGTGTGTGTGTGTGTGTGTGTGTGTGTGTGTGTGTGTATTTGATACACCATCTTAAATACTTTAAAAAAATATATATTTATTTACTGATTTATTTATTTAGCTGTGCCAGGTCTTAGTTGCGGCGTGTGGGACCTTTAGTTGTGCCCTGCGAACTCTTAGTTGCGGCATGCATGTGGGTCTAGTTCCCCGACCAGGGATCAAACCTGGGCCCCCTGCATTGGGACCGTGGAGTCTTAACCACTGGACCACCAGGAGAGTCCCTTAAATTCTTTTTGGAAAAGATAGAATATATTATATATTGCATACAAGAAGTTTTAAAATCACTCCCTGAAAGCTAAGCAATTGTGATCGTTTTTAACTCGTCTCTATTATGATGGCACTTCGGTGAATATCGTTACGCATAATTTTTTTTTAATATTTAAGATTATTTTGGGCTTCTCTGGTGGCGCAGTGGTTAAGAATCCGCCTGCCAATGCAGGGGACACAGGTTCAAGCCCTGGGCCAGGTAGATCCCACATGCCGCGGAGCAACTAAGCCCGTGCGCCACAACTACTGATTCTGCACTCTGGAGCCCGCGAGCCACAACTACTGAGCCTGTGAGCCACAACTACTGAAACCCGCACGCCTAGAGCCCATGCTTCGCAACAAGAGAAGCCACCGCAGTAAGAAGCCTGCGTGTACTGCAATGAAGAGTAGCCCCCACTGGCCACAACTAGAGAAAGCCCACGCGCAGCAACGAAGACCCAATGCAGCCAAAAATAATAAATAAATAAATAAAAGAAATAATAAAAATTTAAAAAACCCGATTATTCCATTAAGGTAGATTCCTAGATTTGGAATTACTGCACCAGAAGAGTATGGATATTTGAAAGGTTCTTGGTATTTATTGCCAAACTGCTTTCCTAAAAGCCTCTCCAATTTATATTCTTTTTTAAAAAATTATTTATTTATTTATTTGTTGGCTGTGTTGGGTCTTAGCTGCAGCACCTGGGATCCATCCATTGCGGCGCGTGGGCTTCTCTCTAGTTGCGTTGTGCAGGCTTGGTTCCCCGCGGCATGTAGGATCTTAGTTCCTCGGCCAGGGATCGAACCCGCACCCCCTGCATTGGAAGGTGGATTCTTAACCACTGGACCACCAGGGAAGTCCCCCTTCAGTTTCTGTTCTTATTAGCAAGTAGGAAAGTGCATGTCTCAATACATCTTACAGCAGTAGGTATTATTGTTTTTTAATGATCACTAGTTTGCTAGATAGAAAATGGCATCTGTTAGTTGATTTGGAACATGTGTCTCTGAGTCCATGCCCCAGGGCTGTGGGTGGAGGAATGTCCATCCAGTACTCTATCTGAGATTCTTGCCTTGCAGCTGACTTTGGTGTGTCTGCCAAGAATCTGAAGACTCTGCAGAAAAGAGATTCCTTCATAGGAACGCCTTACTGGTAAGTCATATGGCTTCTGGAAATGGGATGGTGGACTGAACGCTACACCTCCAACTCTCCATGGTTCCTCTGGCTGGTCTAGAGGAGAGAGGACAGAGGCAGGGGCTCCTGAGTCAGCGTGCTGGGTCTGAGCCCAGATCCCCTCACTTACTAGCGCTGAGACCTTGGCCATGTTGCTCAGCTTCGTGTGCCTCAGTTTACTCACCTGTAAAATCGGGGGTATAATAGCACCTACATAATGGGCTATTGTGAGGATTGAATGGGATGGTGCATATAGAAAATGCTCCATTAATAAGAACTGACACCCCTGAAAAACGGTTCTTGATTGAGAGCCAGGCATAGGGCTAGGGCCATGAAGATGAGCAATACAGGTTCAGTTCTTGTGCTTATATGAAATCTCCCCAGACTTATCCAGTCCACTGTGTTTCCTTCTTTTCCAAAACTATTACTTTAAAAACAAGCAACCAAACAAAAAAAACCTCTCTCAGTTTCACACCTAACTACTTTCTGTTTTACTTCCCATGGTGGAGTGAGGTTCCTTTCTTGCTTGCTTATTACTCACTCTTTCTTTCTCTCTCTGCCCTTTTATTCCTCTTTCTCCTTTTCTCTCCCATCCCTTCTCTCTGTGCTGTTGTGTTCTCTTTACCCCCCTTCCCGCCCCCAGTTTTTCCTGGGTACCTTCCCCACTGCTCCCACCCGCCCCTTCCCCAGGACCCTGTGTTCTGGATTGTTGCTGCCATCTCGTGGTAGGAATCAGAACTGCAGCAGGACTTGGGCATTGGAGCCGCTTGGAAGGCGTCTTTGTGTGAGAAAAGGGTCCTAAGAAAGACAGTGGGATGGAAAGGAATGAAAATCGTGACTCGGGAGTGCTGCCAACCCCCTGATGTTGGCTTGTGCTGGTCCTTGACCCTGAGTCTCTGACAAGCGCCTGTGGAGGCCAGGATCTGAGCCCTCTGTTGTCCCTTGGTTGGTTCAGGATGGCCCCCGAGGTGGTGATGTGTGAGACCATGAAGGACACCCCATATGACTACAAAGCCGACATCTGGTCCCTGGGCATCACTCTGATTGAGATGGCCCAGATCGAGCCCCCGCACCACGAGCTCAACCCCATGCGGGTCCTGCTCAAGATTGCCAAGTCAGACCCTCCCACGCTACTCACGCCTTCTAAGTGGTAAGTGGCCAGGAGGCCTGCCTGAGGGTGTTTGCTGGACGGCCAGCGGGCCTGGGACGTGGGGTGGGGGGATGCGGGGTGCCAGGGCTCTGCTGTTGCTGCTGGGCTCCGCATTTGGGGAGCGGTTGGGCCTGGGAGTCTGCAGGCCTCTCTGAGCTCCCTGGACCCTCCTGGCTCTTTCCTCCCTCTGTGCTGTGGACATCGGCTCTCCATCAGAGAGAATGGGTAACCCAGATAAGCCGGATCCCACTGCAGGAGTAAGAGCCCACGTGAGCCCCAGCAGCCACGTGGCACAACCCTGGGCTGGGAATTGGGGCTCGAACCCCAGCACTGCTGTGTTTCACTGTGTGCCCTCGGGCAAGTCCCTGCTCCTCTGATTTCCACATCCTCTCTGTTGGTGATGTCTGTGACGAGAAGGGCATCTTGAAGGCCCCGTCGCCTCTGCTTTGTAGCTTATAAAGGCGCCCTTTGTCCTTTGAAGGGCGTGTTTGGGAAGCACGCGCCTCCCAGGAGAGTGGAGTCAGTGATGGTGGGGAGTTTTCTCGGCTCTCGCCCGCTCCCAGCTTACCTGTCTGTCCTCCCAGGTCTGCGGAGTTCCGAGACTTCCTGAAGACGGCCCTGGATAAGAACCCGGAGACCCGGCCCAGCGCTGCACAGCTCCTGGAGGTGAGTGATCCCCTCTCCCGGGTGGCTGCCTGTCGCTCTGCCCAGCCCTTCCTGTGGACAGATCACCCGTGACCTGGAAGCTGGGTTCGTCCTCCCCCAGCCCAGGCGATGGTGTGCACAACTGTTCACTCATTGGCCGACGTTCCCTGAGCACCTGCCACGTGCCGGCCCTCATGCGGGGAGGGCTGGCTGTGGTAAGGGAGCCCCCAGACTCCTGTCCTCAAGGAGCTTACCTTCCAGTGGGGGAGACAGGCAGCTGATGAGCAGATAGTGCACGTGGCAGGTGGAGAGCAGGGCTGTGGAGGAAAAGAGAACAGCACAGGGGAGGGGGGCCTGGGAGGGGTTGCTCTCCTATAAAAGGAGGACACAAGGGGCTCTGTGCACAGACACCCTAAAGGAGGCCAGGGGGCCAGGCACATGGTGCTCAGGAGCAGAGGTGAAGGCCTAGGATGGGGGCACGATTGGTGCAGCCGGGAGAGCCGGGGGCCCAGGGTGCAGGAGCCGGGGTGAGGAGGGGGGCAGGGTTGGAGATGAGATCGGAGCGGTACGGGGGCATGCCCACCCCCAGGTTCACTGCTTCCCTAAGAGGACACTCGGGACTCAGCATCTAGTCATACTCTCCACTATGACTTATTACAGCAAAAAGATACAGAGGAAAAGGCACCTGAGGGAAGCCAGGCCGGAACTTCCAGAGTCCCCTTCCAGTGGAGTCACACGGTCTGTGCTTAGTTCCCCCTGCTGTGCGTGACACGTGTGAGGTGTTGTTTCCCTGGGAAGCACGTTGGAGAGCTCGGGGCCCAGGGTTTCACTGGGGGCTGGCCACGTGGGCAGCCTCTGCCTGGCACGGGCAGGGTTCCAGACTGCAGAAATCTGGCAGGCGTTCAGCGTGGGCCACGTCGCTTGCAGTTCAGGCAGAGCTGGCCCCTCTCATCAGTTAATGGGAGGAGCCCTCCCCAAATCCAAGTTCCTGGCGAAAGACCAACGGTGGAAGCAGGCCTTTCAAAGAGGAGGGGGACCAGGTCATGGCGGGTCATGCAGGACCTCGGGAGGATGCAGGCTTCACCCTGTGTGTGATGGCGCACCCGTGAGGGTTTGGAGGAGGGAGACACCATCTGACTTACACTTACAAGGCTCCCTCTGGCTATTGGGTTTGGAATCTCCAAGACCAGCCAGGATGACAGCTGACTCAGGGAGCATCCCCTTAGCTGGTTGAACGGCCTCCAGGTGGGGAAGTGGATGACTGTTTCCTTGAGCCTCTTTGAAATATTGGAGGTAGCTGCGAGCTGCCCTTGCCCAGGGCCGATGCCTCATGTCCTGGCGGGGTGAGGGTTGGAGTGTTTGCAGCTGTGTTTGGAAACACCCGGTGTGTCCAGCGCGGCTGATCCCAGTCCCCGGGCCACCAATGCTGTTGGCAGAGGGAGAGGAAGTGGGCCTGGGTGATGTGGCCTGTCCACTCTGGTCCTTCCCGCTTCGTGTTGTGGGAGCAAAGGGGGCCGATGCTCCACCGTGCACTCGAGTCTTTCTTCACATTCAGCCCCTTCTCCCAAGCACCGACTTACTGTGCGCCAGGTGCTGGGGCTGTGGTTGGCACTCTGGGCCACAGTGCATCTCTCTGGGGTGTGTAGCACAGTGATTCAGTGTGTGGACTGGGGTTGGAAAGTCCTGGGTTCAAATCCCAGCTCTGCCACTTACTGGCTGTGAGACCCTGCTCAGGGGGCTTAGCCTCTCTGTGACCCTGTTCTCACTCTGAAGTGAGGATGATAGCCAGCCCCCCCTTACAGGGTTAAGTGAGAAGACACTGTAAAGCGCTTAGCTTAGTTGTTAAGTGCTGTGCACAGTGAATAGTTGATGCATTGAACTGAAATTATAAAAAAATGGAAAGAAGTGGGGATGCAGAATGGGGTCTGTCTGCTGGGGCTAATGATTGTTCCTTGTAGATTTCTGCACCGCATTTGAAAGCACACGGCTGGAGTTACCAGAGGCCTTCTTTTCGGGGCATTGCGGCGTTTGATGGGTGGCGTCGGCAAGGGACTGGACCAGGCCAGCCAGGGGTGGGGGTGCGTGGGCCTGCTGTCACTGTCAGATACAAAAGCTCCAAGCTCCTGGGGCCAATTGTTTCCAGTGAGCAGGCACCTCCTGGCCTGATACATCCGGCCTCCAGGATATGCTGCCAGGAAGAGACCAGCTGTCCCTCATCCCCTCGTGGCAGCCCAGAAGCCTCAGCCAGAGACAGGAATTTCCGTTCCATAGTGGAGAAAAAAACGTCCTGCCAGAGGACTCTTCGCTGAGACGGAAAGGTTGCAGAAGAAAGTAGAGATCCCTCCAGACAAAGAAAGCTCCTTTCAGAGCTTAGGCTGCCGTCAGTTTTTTCCACGTGCCTGTTCCGTCTGTTAGGGAGGGTGGGGCATCGTTATCGCCTTAGGTGAGGACCCTGAGGCTCAGGGCAGGGGAGTAGCCTGCAGAGGTCACCTGACTTGTTGTGGCCACAGGTAAGCCCAGACCTTGACTTGCCAGCACACCCTCCAGAGCCTCACATCTGCCTGCGGCCCCCACGTTCCTCCCGGCCCCTCCTCTTGCCCTGCATCCCTTCAGCTGACTGACTTATGCCCCTGCTGGTTTATGATCCATTCATTCGCTTGCACGGATATATTTTGTTGGGACCGTATCACTTGGTGGTAACCCGGGCTCTGAAATCAGGCTCGCCCTCCTGAAACCCGAGCCGTCCTCACTCTGAGCCTCAGTTTCCTCCTCTGTAGGAGGTGGGTCGTGCTTGCGTCACGGAAGTGTGTGGGTGGATGCGATTCTGTACCCACCCGCTGTCTTCAGCATCGTGGCTGTCACACATCCGGTGCGCAGCATGCACTTCTTGAATTGGCTCTTAAACCCACCCCGTTCTAGCACAGCATTCTTGTCAAGGTCGTTCGTACCTTCTGGACATCGTGGTCAGCTCAGGCCTCGGTGCTGGTCTTGCTGGACTCAGCAGCAGCCACAGGCGACCCTCTTCCCCTTGGCTGTCAACGCCTGATGTCAGGTCTCCACGCTCTCTTGGTTTCCTTCTCACTGGCCACTCGTCTCTCTCCTTCGCCTGCTCCTGTTTCTCCAGCTCATTAACGTGAAGTGCGCCAGGGGCCTTTTCCTCCGTCTCCATCACCTTGATGGGCTCGTCTGTTCGCCATGACTCCCGCATTTCTGCCTGCAGCCCAGACTGCCCTTCTCGCCCACAGGCCCTTGTATCCGGCTGTTTACCCTCCACCCCTTTAGATGTCCGTAGATATCTCAAACTTAACACGTCCGCAACTGAGCGCCCTCATCTTTCCCCAAATATGCTCTAGCGATGGCTTTCCTGTCTCATTTGATGGCAGCCCCACCTTGCCAGCAGTCAGGCCCCAAACCTCGCAAGCATCCTTAACCCATCTCTTTCTCACACACTCTGTATCCATTCTACCGGGGAATCCTGTTGTCCCTGGCTTCAGAACATGCCCAGGATCCAGCCACTTCTCACCACCTCCATTGCAGCCGGAGGGAAAAACATAAGTCAGCTCCTATACCTCCTGAGTCCAAAGCCCCTTAATGGCTCCCATCTTATTCAGGGTAAAATCCAGAGTCTCAGTGACCTGCAAGGTCCTGCAAGGTCTGCCCACCCCACCTTGACTCCTCAGACTTCTCTTCCTCTTGTCTCCTCACTCTTCCCCAGCCAACCAGCCTCCTTGCTACTCTTCAGACACTCCAGACACACTCTAGCCTCAGGGCCTTTGCACTGCCTGTCCACTATGCCAGGGATGCTCTTCCCCTAGACACCTCCATGGCTGACTCTTTCTCTTCAAGTCATTGCTCAAATGGCAGCTTCTCAGTGAGGCCTCCCCCAAGTACCCTGTTTAAAACCTACTGCACCCTCACATTCCTAATTCTCCTTCCCCTGCCCTACTTTTGATTTTTCCATGGCACATAGCATATAACTTATGCATATAACTTATAGCATATAACTTATAGCATATAACTTACATGTTTATTAAGTTTATCGTTGATCTCCCTGACTAGCATGTCAGCTCCCTGGGGACAGCAGTCTTTGTTTTTGTTTTCGTTTTTGCTTTCACTGATGTGCCCCAGTCATCCAGAATAGTGCCTGGTATGGAGAGGGCCTTCGTTAAATACGTTTACTTATTTTTACTTAACAAAGTGTTATGTAACCTCTTCTCCATGCCAGGTTCTATTCTAAATGCTTAGCAAATGTTAGCTAATTTAATCCTCATGACAGCCCTATGAAATAGGTACTGTTTGGGTCTCTGTCAAAGAGATGATAAAACTGAAGCACAGAGAGGTTAAGCAGCCTGCACAAAGTCACACAGTGTGTAAGTGACAGAGCTGATTTCTGATCCTGGTCATCCGGTTCCAAAGCCTGTTCTTTTGACCACTCTAGTAAGTTGCCTCTCTGAATGAAGGAAGGAAAGAAAGAGAGGTGGAATAAAGTTAGGAGGGAGGGAAGGAGGACTGAAGGAAAGATGCTGACACCTGAAAACTTGGAAGTGTTATTAGGCATTTTCTAAAGCCAGTCTTGGAGTGTGGGACATCCTGGCTGATGGTTTCTAAGCACACAGAGGAAAACTAGGCTCAAGTTCTTGGGAAGGATGACTGGGTAGATGGCAGGAGAGGTCCTGGCCAGGGGGTGGGTGCCAGCTGGCGAGCTCTGTGGCACCCTGGGGCTCCCTGCAGAGATAGTACAGAACAGCTTTTCCTCTTCCTGAAGGAGCAGATGGCTGAGTTTCCCTCTGATCTGGGTCTTCCACGGGGGTGACCGAGCACCTTTCTAGGGACCCATGTGCCCAGACCAGCCTGTCCCTGTGCAGGTGCACAGTGCGCTGGCCACCGGGGAAGGTCCCGCACCCTTCTGTGCTGGGCTTTGTCTCTAATGGGCCTTGGCAGCTTGGCGGTTGAAACGTCTTTTCTAAACACAACCCTGGAAGTAACAGAGCTGATGCAGTGGAGGAGGTGGTCTGTGCTTTGTGTCCCAGAGCAGTTTACAGAACAGTGTTCTGGGCCTAATCAGACACAGGAGGGCCTGACCCATCTGCCAGCCCCTCTCGCCCGGGGATTCCAGGAGCTTGGCGTACAGGGGAATGGCCCTGCTCACCTGCCCCTCCGTCAGAGGCTTTCTTCCCCATGCCTCCCCCTCCGCTTCCTAAAGACCCCGGGGTGCTCAAGGAAGGCCATGCAGATGTTCAGCCTCAAGAAAGCAAGGCTCCTGGCCAAGCTTAAGGGTCACTAATTTGGTCAGTATGCGATATGGCCTGATGAAAACCTGGTATTTCCAGAAGCCCGTGTTTGCATTAGTTGTTTCTGCCGCATCTGCTTCCGCAACTGCAGTGAAGTGTCCCGTGGCTTCTTGCTCAAGTTCACGTGTGTGAGGTTGTGCAGTGTGAAGCTCGGGAAGCTTTGGGATCTGATTCTTACCTTCAGTTCCAAAAAGCTGCACTCCGGGGACGCAGGAGGGAATGGGAATGGCTGGGAGTGCAAACTGGTGCTTAAAGGCTTCTCTGATTGTGGTTCTGCCGCTGGTGATGGTGGTGATGATCGTAGTGGCAGTGGTAGTAATGGTAGGCATGGTGATGGCAGGGGCAGTAGTGATGGTGGTGATGATGGTGGCTATAGTAATGACGGTGGTGGTGATGATGATGGTGGTGGTGGTGATGATGACACTGATGATGGTGGTGATGATGATACAGGTGACAGCTGCTGTATTTTGAGCTCTTACTACAATGCTTAGAACAGCCATACTATTATTCCCAGTATACAGATGAGCAAACTGAGGCTCAGAGAGGTTGAGTGACTTGCCCGAGTTGGTGGAAGTGGGATTTTATTCCAGGCAGCCTGGCTCTCGAGTCTAGAGCCAGCAATCTTCACTGCTGTGCTCTCCTGCCTCTCACAATTAGTACATCCTTATTAATATCCAATTCAAGACCTTTTGGAGCCACACAGCAGCCAGAGTGATACCTTCAAAGGGTTACTCTTTATATCACTGCAGCCCTTGTACTTGCTGCTCCCCCTACATGGAATTCTCTGTGCCCAGATCTTTCTCTGGCCAGCCCCTTCACATCCCTCAGGGCTCAGCTTGAATGTCACCTCCCAAGGAGGGCCCTCTGCCCAAAGACCTAGGCAGACTCTCCGGCCACCCACCCAATGCACCAATCCAGGCCCATGTTCCTCCAGCCTATCCTATTACCTGATCTGAAAAATGATCTTGTCATTTGGTTACGTGCCCATTGACTTTCCCGCTCAGCTGCGAACCCCCAAGGCCAGGGAGCTTGCCTGTCTGCTTGTTTGGCCTTATTTCAGCACCTGGCACATCACTGGCCTCAACATGGGGCTGAGGCATGAATCAACGAATGAACAGGGGGTGTGGGAGAGAAAGATAGGAAATAAAATTCTTCACGTCTTTACTAGTTTGGACTAACTAGAGAAAGTCAGGCTGGTTTAGGAAGATCTGAATGACAGGGCTCTTTAAAAGGAGTGAGGTGTATTGCTTTCCCGTGTGCAGAGTGGGGTACCCAGGTTGAATAGGGTGTTGCCTCTGACCTTCCACAAATGTACTAAACAGATAAGAATGAACAAGCAGATAGGAATGATTTGTAGTGGACCTATCAGTTGTGAATGTGTTTTCAAGGTGTTAGAAAATTTATTCTCTTCAGTCATTTAAATACTTCCCTGCATTCTTGTTGACACTGTTCCTCCGCTGATAACTGACAGTAAAAACAGTGAATTTCATCAGAGCCTTCCTGCGCATTTCAAGTGAGCAAATTCCAACCTAACAACTGTCCCACCCTGCCCCTGCCAATGCCTTTCTAAGTGAGTGTGGGGAATTGAGGAATCCCTTGTCCCTGTCCACAACCTGGTGCTGGGGACAAGATGCTCAGAGACAGACAGGGAGATCTTCGGGCTGATTTACCATCTGCTGAGGTCTTAAAAGCTTTGGTGTTTTCCAAGGTCCATGAAAGAGCCTTCACTTTTTAAAGATGTGGCATTTCTGTAAACACCTAGGAATAGAACGTACACTACTTGGCCTCAAGATTTTGCAAACACACACATCCACCCTGAGACCTATATGAGCATGTTCATAGCAGCTTTATTAATAGTTGCCCCAAATGGGAAACAACACAAATGGCCAGCAACAGCAGGAAGAATAAACAAACCGTGACAGAGTCACGTGGTAGAATACCGCACGGGAATCAAAAGGGAAGAGTTTACCGACATAGGCAACAGGGTAGGCGAATCTCATAGTCTCAGCTCAACTTGTGTTGAGTGAGGAAAGCCAACCGCAAAAGAATACGTGCTCTATGATTCTGTTCAGATGAAGTTAAAGAGAAGGCAAACCTAGTCTCTGGAGCTGGGTGGCTGTGGGGAGTGAGGTTGACTGCACGGGGGAATGGGGACCTGCTCGAGGTGATGGAAATGGTCTGTGTCTTAAGCTGGGTGGTGGTTACACCAGGTGTGTATGTATGGAAAAAGTCCCTGAGCTTAATGATTTGTGAACTTTACTGTGTGTAAGTAATTCTTCAATAAAGTGTATGTGTGTATATGCATATGTATACTGTATATATTATATTTTTTAAACCATATATGAAAACCTTTTAAAAAAGTAAATTAACAAATAAACAAACCTCCTGAAACATTACTTCTGCTCCCGCTTCGGGCTAAGCTCTTCCCTGCGCGTGATCTCATTCCATCCTCATGCCTTCCCTGTGGGTCTGGCGTTATTGTCTCCACTTCAAAGGTGAGAAGCCTGTAGCTCAGAGAGGGAAGGGGACTTGCTCGGTGTCACGCAGCTGGTGAGTGGCAGAGCTGGCTCACTTCCCACCACACACAGGACTTTCTGAGCTGCCTCTGGGTCTGCCTGACCAAGTTCACGTTCACGTTTCGCTCAGGGATGCCGCTGGCCTTCTCCGCCTGGGGGATCGCCTCCCCCAGCCTTGGCTGCCCCTCCTCACCCCCCAGCCCACAGTGGTTCTAATCCAGCTGTCTTGCCCCCTCCTCAGCATCCCTTCGTCAGCAGCATCACCAGCAACAAGGCTCTGCGGGAACTGGTGGCCGAGGCCAAGGCTGAAGTGATGGAGGAGATTGAAGACGGCCGGGATGAGGGGGAAGAGGAGGACTCGGTGGATGCCACCTCTGTAAGGCCTGGAGGAACGGGGGTGGGGGGGCGTGCGGGAGGGACGGGATCCCCGCAGGCCTTTACTGGTGTGGGATGGGCCCGGCGGTGCAGGAAGGGTTCCCGTCTGTTTATCCCCAGCTCAGAGGTCACAGGCCCCCACGCCACCAGTTACGTAAGACAGCACGTGGGCCGGGACGAGGCAGCAGGGCGTGTTGACCAAATCCTGTACGTTTTCAGGGAAGACCAGGAATCAGATTTTTTTTTTTTTTTTTTTTTTACGCGGGCCTCTCACTGTTGTGGCCTCTCCCGTTGCGGAGCACAGGCTCCGGATGCGCAGGCTC